GTAGAAACAGATGAAGAATTTAAAATATAAATGTAATCAGTATTCTCCAAGAGATTTATTTTCAGTCTATCATACCCATAAAACAGTCACTGCAACAGAAAGGAAGCAAACAGATTTGTTGGGAATGAAAGTGTTACCCATCAGATTAAAAAATCAATAGATGAGTTAATTAGTGTCAGAAGACAATGCTCCCTCAGTCTCTTGCATTTCTGCACATCTTGCAAAGTGAGGCACTGACTACCCTTTTTATATGACTCCTTTTTTTTGGCATTTGATTGGCATTTGCCATATATTTTCTCCATTTTTTATTCTGAGAAATTTCAAACCTATGGCAAACTTGTAAGAATAATGCAATGAATAACCAAATATTCTAGTTTCACTAATTGTTAATATTTAGCCATAATTTTTTCTCTCTCTCCTTGTGTGTATCTCTCTCTATATATATACACACACACATATACAATACAGGTTTTATACATATAGATTATATATAATTTCTATATGTAAATATATACTATATATATATAACTTTTGATGAACAATTTAAGAGTAAGTTACAGATGTTAATGACACTTTATCCTAAATATTTCAACATATATCTCCTAAAGAACAAGAGTGTTTTCCTACATAACCTCAAAACAATTATCATACCAAAAAACTTCATTTAACTTTGATTAAATATGATTCAACTCAATTTGATATAACACTGCTATTTAATATGTATATTCCATATTCAAATTTTCCCAATTGTTCCAATACGTCCTTTATAGCATTTTTGGTTTGTTTATTTTACATTGAAGGCTTTATAAGGATTATAAAACAACTGGCCTGAACTCTTTATTCAAAAATATCAGTGTCATGAAAGATGAAAAAAGGGTGCTGTTCTAGATCAAGAGAGAAGAAAGAAACATGACAGTTAAATGTGGTGCGTAATCCTTAGAGTAATTTAAAAAGAACGCATATCTAGAAATATTTAGGAACCATTTCATAACTCAAATATTTAAAGCTTAAAAACAAAAAGTTTTCAAAGAGCCACAAACAGGCTACATACAAAGCACCACTGGATGCAGATAGAAAACACAGGAACAGCATCACCCAAGTTCAGAGAGAAACTTAGTTTGAACACACGTTTTTACACCCAGTCAATTAGACTTTAAGTGTGAGCAGAGAGAGCCAGAGAGAGAGAAGGAAAAGTATTTTCAGTAATAAAAAGACTAAGAAGTTTTATATTCACAGATCTCCTCTGAAACAATTAGTCAAGGATACGTTCTAGCAAAATGAATTCAAGAAATGGGAAGACACGGAACCCAAGAAACAATGGTGTACAAAGAAATCACCATAGATACACAGCATTAGAGACATGAAACAGTTACAATAGAAAACCATATTCAACTTTATACTACTAAAAAGGTATTTAGTGGATGATTTTCTAGGACAAATGAATTACCAATTTAATTCAAGAAGAACAAAATATTTTAATAAACCATTAAACCTAGACAGTTTGGAAAAAGTAATCAACAATCCATCCTTCACTACAGTTCCAGGTCTCAGGTGCTAGTCGTTCACGGTTTCACGTGCAGTGGGGAAGAGCACTGCCTACTACACAGAGCGAACCCTTACAAATCAAACAGACAGCCCTATTGTTCAAATGGGTAAATGATACAAATAAAAATGAAGAGAAGAATTACAAGTAGCCAATTAACATATGAAAATAAATTTAACCTCAGTAGCAATAAAAGAAATGAAAAATAAAACTTCAATGAGAGATTCTGCTCTTCCCCAACAAATGAGCGAAAATTAAATATTGATAATACGAAGTGCTGGTAAAGGTGCAGGGGAAATGGATTCTCCCACTCACGGTTGGTGGAAGTGAACTGTAAATTGGTGTGGCCTTTTCAGAGGTCCACTTGGCAATATATATTCAAGTACAAAATGTGAATACATAAACTTTGTCCCAGTTTTCTACTTCAAAGGATCTGTCCCATACAAATACCGGCATATTGCAGAGGAAGGGGAAGAATCACAATGTCAGTTCCTTCCTCTGGAATACTACCCATCCACTAAAGAGCATAAAATAAATCAAGATGTGCTAACATGAAAGTATCTCCAACCATGCTAAGGTGGCAAAGAAAGTCAGATAACATATGTAGTACAGTTACTATTGTTTTAATGCTGTGTATCTATTGAAATCCTATGTTGTGTAAGGCTGGGTCCTTAATTCTGGGTTTACAGAATTGAATAAAGCAGATAAAGTTCCTGGCCTCACAGACGTTACATATCCAGTTTGGAGATGGAAGATGAAAGTGGGGTTGGGGCAGGTAAATAATAAACTCGTTAGCAAGTGCAAAAGCAAGATAATTTCTGATTGGGATAAGTTCTACCAAGGCAATAAGCAGTGACTGGAGTGGGAAGGGGTGCCCAGCGCTAAGTCAGCGCCATCAGTAAAGGAGGGCAACTATGAGGTCCGCACACATGTTCTGGAATTGAAAACCCCTGAAATTGATATCGATCTCTCCTGTCTCAAGAGCTTTCAGCTGGAGAGGATACAACATGATCAAAATTCTGCAGAGATTTTGTGAGCTGACAGAAAGCACGAAACTGCAAGTCCAGCATCCAAGGTTTCTGTTTTGTCCATCCACATTAGCAGAGTTAGGTCTAGTCACTGAAAACGAGGGACGGGGAATATTACTTGGCCTTACAAGCTCATAGGTGTGTTTCAGGAATACATGAATAGTTATGTTATTTTGGAAATGTATAGAATGGTATCTGTCTTGTGTGAGTGGTAGAATGAACACGAGCTAAGATGTAAACAGTTGTGGATTGGACTCTGTATGCCTTCGCGTGTACAAGGTGTACATCTGAGGGAGATAGAGAGAGGACTCCATGAAGGAACATCATACTACCTGCTGTGGGTCCTCCCCTGTTCCCATGAATGAAAGCTTTGGACGGGACAGGGGCTACTGTGGCCCCACGCCAAGCAAAGTCCGTAAAGCAGAGAATTTCTTTGTGTGAATCTTCTTCCTCTTCCATTTGCTGCCCAAATCAAACTCCATTCTCCTAGGCAGTTCAACCCCAAAGGGTAGAAACGAAGCCATATGTGCTTTCAAATAGCCCTAACCTTCAGAGCCTTGAAAAGCAGAGGGCTGTTTTTCAGAGATACCCCTTCCCTTTTTTCCCTCTCTCAAGTCTTCACCACCCTTGCTCAGTCTGAACTGTTCAGAAATGGGTGCCCAATGGGCTGCATTTGTACATCTGCCAGGAGGTGCAAAGCAAATGCTTTTCAGAGGTCAATCCCCCCACCTAGGAAATGGTAATATGCTAAATTATGTACTTAACTAATTTCTACCCAAGAGCAATAGCATAAAATTTAAAAAGCGATTCCATCACCCAGGATCTGTGTGCACAAAGTCCACACAAAAGGTTCAAGCTGTCATCAGTCAACTTGTGTTTGCGCTTTGGCCAAGTATTCTGAGGTCCATTTCTACTACAAGCTGATGAACGGTGCACAGTTAATTACCACTTAATTGCTTGTCTCTTTCCCCTTGTGTTACCACCACATGGGTTAAAAATGACAGGGGCAAGATTGTTGCTAGTCCCATTCAGATCAGCGGAATCCAAGGGCAAAGCTTCCCGTTAGATTTTACCATGCACAGCCATCTTCTTCACAAGTGCTTTTGTTTTATTTTTGGTTTGTTTTTTCAAAATGCAAAAATAGTCATATCATGATCAGGGAACCCGGGCTAAGAGGTGATGTGGGGTATCTGCTATCATAAGTATTCCGTGATATGGGCTGTAACAATTTCTTAACAACTATTCTAGAGTTTAGGTACACAAGTAAAGCTGGCTGAAAGAATAGAAGAAACAATATAGCTGCCCTTTTCACCAGACTACATAACATTATACAACAGCTTTGTAATTATTTGTATAATTTTTTTACATTTTCCATCTCCAGGACTTTAAGCTCCATGAGACAAAGAGTGTGTCTTTCCTTCACCTCTTTCTCTCTAGCATCAAGCCCAGTACCCGGTATTTAGCTGACACTCAGGGAATCTGTGTAAGTGAATGAGTGAGTGAGTGAGTGAGTGAACAATTGACAAAGGCAGGTTTCAAACCCAGTTCTTGGGCCTCATAGGCCATTCCCATGATACCAAGGTACCTCTACCCCCGGGCAGATACACACACGTTCAAGGCAGAATAAAAGACATTAACAGGACACTTGGGCCATGGGCTGTAACTCCCATTTAATTTCAAATGAATTTCTGAAATTTCTCGCTCAATCAATTGGATAATTCATTTCTAGAAAGTACTGATTTATTCCTTTGAAATTAGTCACGGTCAACACAGTCTTAGTGGGTCGTCAGTACGCTGCTCTGGGGGGCTACCCAGGCCATGGTGCTTTAGTTGATGGCACTTTATGGCCTCAGGAGAGTAAGGCTGGATCCTGAAGCCAGGCTCTTTCCTCATAGAAAGACCCCCTGAAGGAGGCTGGAGAGCCCAGGAGGCGGAAGGCAGGTCTACCACCTCCACTGCTTCCCACAGGCCCAGAGGACTGGCGCCAGAATCAGGGAGAATGGCGGGAACTCCCATCCTTCCCGCTGGGTGTCACTGCTCCCGGCCCTTTTCCCTGCCCCTGCCTGCATTTGAGGACCAGAAACCAGCACGATTTCACAGGCTGAATCCCCTCACTCAGGCTCACCTGATCCAGCTCACGAAGAATGGGTTACAAAGCACTGATACTCCATCAAAGGCAGGGCCCTTACTCTTATCTTGATCTTCAGGTCATGTGGACCTCAAAATATCTTTCCCAGAATGTTGTGAACACATACCCCCTACCCCCACACACACAGAGATTTTTTCTTTTTTTTAACATTCGGAAAGTTTTCAGGGTTAATGGAGCATTTGACTCAAAGCATAGCCAACCTTTGCAATGATGTCTTGGGTGTAGTACTTGCATTTATGATTTCTCAATCCCTTCTCTCTTCCAACACCAACCCCCTTAGGAAAGGAGCCTGGTGGGGGAACCAAGAGTCTAGATTGCAAAATTGAGGAGTGCACTGATGCACCGGCTCCAGAGGACTCCTCATCGTCCCCTATGGAGATGCAGCAACATTCCTGGCAGGTTTCCACAGACATCGAGAACACTGAAAGGTAAGTGGGCAGTTACCCCACGTAGACTGCCAGTCCTCCTCCAGTTAAACTCAGGGGCTACGGAGTCCAGATTTCCTTTCAGATTCTAAAACAGAGCTCTCAGTAAACTCAGACGAGGGGTCCAAATCCTGCCGTGGAATGAAAGCAGAACCCCCAGTGGACATGGACTCCGGGCCTCTGCTTATCTCACTCCGCCAGCCTTGCTTCTCCAGGGAAATGAAAACAGTGTGCTTCCTTGGGAAGGAAGGAAGTTGGATCTACACACCCATCACAGCTCACCCACTGGCCTGGGTCCCACAATTTCCATTTGTTTAAGGGAGAACTCAAAGTCATGCAAAGATGGCCTCCAGTAGATTCTCAAATTTTAGGTGTATGGAATGGCCTGTTTAGCTGCCAGTCAGGGGCTGAGTGCTCCGTCCAGTTGGCAGACAGCTTTTCCAAGAGCTCCCTTCTCTTACTCTCCCAGGATGTAGCTGATGGCCCCTTAGTGGCCAAAGCCCGTTAATGCATTTGTTTGAACAAGCAACAGCTCACTCCTAGAGGGAGTTTCTTTCTTGGGAAAAAGAGATGCTACACTGATTCTATTTCATTTGGGAAAAGGGAGCAATAATAATAGTATAATAATAAATGCATCAGGATGCTAAAAATTCCATTCTGTGAGGCAGAGGGATGAGCCCCTTGTTCACTGGCCTTCACACTGATATCTTGTCCTTTGCCACGCATGTCCCCAGGGCTGGCACACAGCAGCTGAATAAATACTGGGCGGTTTCACTGAGTCCTCTTGTGTATATGCGGGGTTGAGTCACCGACAAGATGATGACGATTTGATTTTTTTTTAATTTTAGAAAAATAACACACAGTGGCATTTATAGCCATTGTGGGTCTACTTTCAAGTTATAATATAATTCTATAGCTAATTACCAAATTCCTGTGTTTATAGAAAAATTGAAGCATGTGATAATTATGAGCTATTAATAAAACTTGGATTTTGTATAAGCTTGGAAATCCAACAATTTAAAACAATAAAGCTGTTTGGCACAGTTTGATAGAACTAGAGACAAATGATGAGGGAGTGGTTTATCTTAATTTATAAAGTAGAAAATGCTCTGTCCTATTTCCAGGAAGAAATATCTACTAGAGTCCACAGTCAGGGCATAATCCATCAGAAAGCCATTTTCCTTTCCAGAAACCTTGCATAGAAGCGTGATCTAAGCCTTGTAAGCTGGTCAGAAAGCAAGCTACGGCTGATAATGATAATAGGAGAAAAAAGCCCTCAGTGTTGGCGGGATTTCAGTTCAGTCTTTAAGTCCAGATTCTGGTCAAAGGAGGTGGGAGTGACTGGAAGAAGTTAGCCACATTAGACCTGGTCTGGGAAGGGCAGCTTCCTCGCTTTCCCCGTCTCTCTGCCCCAAGAGATCTATGGGTCTCACTCTGGGCTGCACATTAAAATTATAGGGAGCAGGGAGGTCACTGGTAGAGCTCATGCTTAGCATGCATGAGGTCCTGGGTTCAAGTTCCAATATCTCCATTAAATAAAAATAAAAAATCAAGGACCCCACCCCCATTAATTCATTAATTAAAATGACTTTGGTTTAAAAAATAGAATAAAATTACTAGGAAGACTTTTTAAAAACAGTCCAAGTCAATTTAATAACTGTTGACCCTTGGGAATGCTTAACACCTGCATTACTCTGAATTCCAGTCACAGTAACGAGAGACGATGGAGAGTGAACCGATGGAACCAGGACAGCCCTCTGACCAGCGGGCCTGGGACACGCCGTCCCCCGGCCTCACTTTTGCCCAGAGTCCGCCTGCTGTTCTAGCTGTGGGTCCTTGCCTCCCCTTGGCAATGAGAAGGACTGTCCTCAGCACCAGAGGCTCTCCTCTACCTCAGCCGGGTCCAGCTGAAGGCAGAGACCAGGGCCGGGACAGCAGAACGCCGGTGCCAATGTTTGTCAGAGGAGGGCTTCTTCCTTCCAGAGCCAACCTGTCTCAGATTTTTTTTTTCTTATAAAAGCAAAATGAATTCAATATATGCCTCCTGGAAGGTAGAGCTGGTACGATTAGGCAAAAACTCTTGGCCTTCAGGTGACACAGAGAACAGACGGTTTGAGATTGCACTTCAGAAACTTACAGCTGATTAATTTTTTCCTTTATCAATTTTACAGAGACATGCGAGAAATGAAAAACCTTTTAAGCAAACTCAGGGAAACTATGCCTTTACCACTGAAAAATCAAGGTGAGTCTTGTCATTTATCCTTGAGGCAGAGGATGCTTTTAACATGATAAACTTGGGTCTTGTTTCTTGAGAAATTAAAGCAAGTTTGTTTACACAAATAATAGGAGGCATTGCGCATACATTTGTCTGTCCTCAAGAAGACAAAAGACTGAGAATAGTTTATCAGGTGAACACAGCTCTGTTCTGAGGGGAGCCGAGAAACACTATGATCCTAAAACAGACATTTCTTTCACTGGCCCCTTCAATCGAGAGCATTAACTCCTTGTCCATGCTGTGAAAACTCTACACAAGGTGTAGCAAACACAAAAGGACTGAAGACTTGGCCCCTGCCTTTAAGGTGGAAGAGACTTAACACTTCCAAAGGAAGATCCCTGTCATCGAGATATTCAGATATCTAAAAACAGTAATAGTAATAATTAACATACATTGAGAACTTACAGTGTGCCACTGTGATTCTGCATCCAGTTCCAATGTGAGGGGGGTGGTTTCCACAACACCAAGCAATGCTGGGACACCAACTGGGTGTCCTCCAAGTCAACTGAATTCTGATACTAATGAGATAACATCAGATTCCAAAAGTTAAGAGTTCAGTCCTACAGGCGACCCGCCCTGCCATGTCAGACGCCAATCACAAGTCCAGGTTGTCCCCCGTGCTTCAGACCATCTGGCTGGCTATAGACTGGAGAGTCCAATGAACCCTTCCTTAGGTTCAATTAACTGGCTAGAACAGCTCACAGAACTCGGAGAAACATTTTACTTGCCAGATCACCATTTATTATTACACAGTATAACTGAGGAGCAGCCAGACGGAAGAGATGCGTAAGGCAAGGTGTGGGAGAGAGTACCTGCCACTCTCCCCAGCCTCCCTGTACCTGCCAACTCAGAAACTCTCCAAACCCTGTCCTTTGGGGGTTTTATGGAGGCTTCCTTACATAGGCATGATTGCTTAAATCATTGGCCACTGGCAATTGATTCAACTTCCAGGGCCTCTCCTGGAGGTCACAGGGTGGGATTCAAAGTTCCAGCCCTCTAACCACATGGTTGGTTTTCCTACCAACTAGCCCCCATCCTCAGATGTTTTCCAAAAGTCACACCATTAACATAACAAAAGACACCTTGATTTCTCTCTTAGGAAGTTCCTAGAGAGCTTTAGTAGCTCTGTACCAGGAATGAGGTCAAAGACCATATCTATATCTACATCTGTGTCTGTATCCCTATCTATTTAGGTGGATATATTTCTTATTATAAATCACAATATCCCAGCCACTATCCTAAATACCTTAGAGGTATTAACCAAATTAACTTACTTAATTCTAATAACCCCTTTGAGGGAAATGCTAGTCATGGTTCCCAATTTACAGGAAACTGAGGCACAGAGAAGTTAACTAACTTGGCCAAGGTCACACAGACTGTAAGTAGAAAGGCTGGGATAGTCTGTCTCCAGAACCACCCTATGAGGTATACACCCTAACACAGAAAGGCAACAGGGAGATTCACGAGAATGTAAGTTCTGTGAGGGCCTCTGTATGCTTTTGTTAACTATTGTACCTTCAGTACCTAGAGAAATGCCTGGAACGTAGAGTAACACCCAGCATAGATAAACGTTTGTTAAAACTGCACCCAACTTTGCAACCCCAGGTACAAAGGACTAGTAATCATCACTTTCACTAAGCAAATGCGGCCAGAGCAGCCTTCGGTGAAGCATGAGCTTCAGAGAGTGGTCCATGGAGGTGGGGAAAGGATTTTTAGAGAGGAGAAAGAAACTCCTCTTGTTTCCATGGAGCAGAGCCTAGGCGGGAGGGAGGACAGAGGGCTGCTTGCCTGTGAGTGCGGAGGAAAGGACTTGGCAGCAGAGCTGGAGCGCCGCTTGGCTCAGGGAGCAGAGAGGCAGAAGGTGGAGAGGTGGACGTGAGAACAGCAGACAGAAGAGGCTGAGTGCTAGTGTGACCTGAGCCTCCAGGGATGGAGGCGGGTGTCAGAAACTGCGGCAGGCGGAGTGGTGCAGCAGGTTAACGGCAAGCACCCCCTGGGGGCCTGGTGAGCAAGGCTTGTTGACTTGAGCCCTGGGTATAGTGCTTGGGAAACCTCGCAGGGTTTGCAAGAAAGCAGTGTTTTACTACCGCACGCTGTAGTGACGAGAGCCCTCTGAACCACAGCATGTTAGCTGGCTGCTAGAAATCAGCATGGGTAAGGCTAGCTTTGGGTTCCAATGCCGGCCCTGCCGTGGACCGGCTTTGTACCCTGGGACAAGTCATTTAACTTTGGGAAATTTACATGTCAGAAAACTCCAAATCATCACCAAACAGAACAAGCCTGGCAGCTGTTCACTCTGAAGCAGGCTGTGTATCGGGTCCGTGAGAGGTTGACCTTGAACCTACTCTTCAGAACCTCGATCCCTGAGACTGGATTTGGGGCTCATGTCGGAAGCCATCCTCAGCTCCTTAATGTGTCTGACAAGTCTCCCCCGATCAGCAGCACATGGGCCTCTGCTTTTACCCCAGGAGGATGACTATGTGGGGCCCCCCAGGACAGAGTTCATGGGTGCCACGGAGCCTATATGTTGAAACCATCTGAAACATTCCCTCTTCATGTAGTGAGTTCATCCACCAGCTTCTGAACCAGGCATTATTGGAAAAGCAGAAACTGTATTTTGTTTACTTAGGACATTTCTGTAATTATAAAAAGTATACGAGAACTATTTTGTGTAACTTTGTATTACTTTTTAAACAGAAAAAGTCATTTGAATTTTAAACAGTTTAAAAATATAATAATAGTAATGAATGATCAGTATGCTAGGTAAAAACACAAGTCATAGGGAAAAATCCAAATAAGGGATGCCCAGGACTCAAACCTTAAATGCATCTGGGGCATGAAAAGGAAAACACTAGGAGATAGAAGGACTTCCTCAGGAGGGAGTAATGCAGTGTGATTTTAAAACAATAAATTGAGGTGAAATCTGATGGGAAACTTAGGTTTATTCCTTTGGGGAGAGACAGGAATCCTTAGCAGGTGAAGATACATCCCTGTCCCCAGTGTTAAATGGGTGCTTACAGTAGGACGTCACTGGGAGCTGACCAGCAGAGAAGGGGGACGTGAATCTCCACTGGAGGGGTCAGAGATGGCCTGAGGGAAGGAGAGTTGGTCTCTTGGAGTCACTCTGGGAGCACTTTTCAGCAGATGCATAGAGCACCATTTTAATGAACTAATCAGCCAGTTTCCTCTCTCTGACTGTGTCCACCAACATAGAGCACAGGGGCTAACCCAGAACCTTCCTGGAATTCTTTTCAGGCAATTTATGTATTATACAGGTCTATCTATGCAGAAAATGGTGTGGGGTGTAATGAGGAAAGATGTATTCCAGTTTTTTCTGCAGGACCGTATTGTCAAAACATAATTCCGACTGGATGAAAAGCATTATAGAAAGCCATCTGTTTTCCTTCTGGCTGCTTCTTTCCTTTCTCTTTTTATCCTATTTACATGTGTGTTTTAAGCAGAGAGAAAAAAGGAAAAGATACTGCTCCTTCCTGGTCCCTCTTTTTCCTACTCAAACCCTGACCATAGGAAAATCTTGCCAGGCAAGCGGGGGTGGGGAGCCAGCAGTGGAAATACTCAGATCTCCCTGTTCTCCAGGTTCCATCCCAGTCCTCAACTCAGAAACCGTTCCATGTCGATTGTAGCATTTAAAGATTTAATTGTATCTCCACCCCCTCCCTGTCCCACTACAGTCAAAACTTGACTCAGCAACAATCTGCTTTAAACTGATTTTCAGTGGCAAACAGAGGAAGGTGGCCAAGAGCACAAATTGTAATGGTTAGTGACTCTGCCTGCATTTAGGGTCTTTTCCTTCCCTTGCTTCCAGTTTAAGACAAAGAGGTGCACAAAAGAGAGGTTAGACTCTCATTCTGCGGCGGCTCCACAGCAGCCTCCCGACAGCGCCCAGGTCTCCTGGCTCTCGGCTCGCTGTCCTTCCCTCTGCATCAGCGCCTCTCCTGTCCTACATTCTGGGTCACTGGCAGTACTGTAGGGAGCTTCATTAATTATGATAGTCTTGCTGTGTCAAATGGATTACAAATGGAACCACCTGTAGAGAGCCCACAAGGTTACTGACAAAGGCTAACAGAAGACTAGGAAGTGAAGGACGAGCATCTTCTAAATCCAGGCTGTAATCAAACAAAACATTGCAGGAATAAATTAAGCCTGAAAGACAGTTTCACCTTTTCCAAAATTCTGACTTAATGAACACTGTGTGGTGTGTCAGTACATTTACTCTTGCCTGGAACTTGGTTGTTGATACAATAAGTTAAAGTCCATCTGAAGTGGATCAGTCAGGAACTGGGGCTGTTCTAGAATGGGGACAGCCCTGCCCCAGGCTAAACTGAGTCTAGGAACAGTTCCCCACTCCCCACACCCTTGATCCACTCCAGTCTGGACATCTAACTGGGAACAACCTAGCCATGGCAGGTGGAAGAGTTCTCTGATGTCAGGGTGAAGAACACTGGGCAGTTATGCCACCTGCTAGCCTGGAGATGACCTTTTAGGTCCTTCCCCAGGGCCTCATATAAAGACTTGCTGTGCTTCAAGCTGGTGTCCAGCTGTCACTCAGGGTGGTTTTATGGGTTGCCCTGTATCCTTTGCAGTCTCTACAACCTTCCCAGGATTCAGTGTGACATATGTAATCCCTCTCTCTCTCCTCCCATCTAACACACTCATCACTGATGACACATCTCTTTCCTAATACATTACTCTGATTATGTTGAGCCTCTCCTCACAAATATTAAGTGCCTGCATATTGTCTTTTGAAGAAAGAACAGAATTCTCCCCTCAGCATCTGTTGCCCCTGCCATTATCCAACATGTGATGGTCACCTGTGACGGGCCGTGTTCTGTCTCAGGTGCTGGAGATGTCTCTCCTCCTAGAGATTCTCCATTGCAACAGGAAGAATGGGGTGAGAATCACCTGGAAAGCTTTTTTTAAGTGAAACAAACATGCCTCACCTTGCA